TCGCTCATGACATCATTGAGGTGCTCAAGCTCCAGCGCCCCGACAAGGCGGTGATCCTTTGCTGGAGCATTTATATTACATTTAATATTACTAATAATATTACAGTATAATTGATATAGTGCAATATAGCAATATTTAAACTGATATTGTACTATGTTAATAATATATTGTATGTATATATACCATGTAAGCCGCTCTGAGTCCCCTTCGGGGTGAGAAGGGCGGCATATAAATGTCGTAAATAAATCAATAAATAAATAAACATCTCAGCAAGCGAGAGTCCAAAAGTGGCAGGCTCAAACCCAGATCCTCAATCAATGGCTGATACCAAATGAGAGACTCCCCCCTGGGCACACAGAAAACTGGGCGACTTGGAAGGCGCTGAACAGACTGCGCTCTGGCACCACGAGATGCAGAGCCAATCTTAAGAAATGGGGCTACAAAGTGGAATCCACAACATGCGAGTGTGGAGAAGAGCACACTACAGACCACCTGCAATGCAACCTGAGCCCTGCCACATGCACAATGGAGGACCTCCTTGCGGCAACACCAGAGGCACTCCAAGTGGCCAGCTACTGGTCAAAGGACATTTAATCAACTACCAAGTTTACAAACTTTGTTTGTTTGTTTAAAAATGCAATGCAACTGCTTGATCTGCCCCTGACACGATAAATAAATTCAGGTGTGTGGAAGGGGCCTGAAGTTAGGGAAGCTGTCAAAGCAGACAATATCCATTCTAGCCTGCAAAACACCACATAGTCATGCTCCCATGTTTTGGGTGCACACACCATTCATCTGCCAGCAACGAACAGAAATATGAAAAACATGTGGATGGAAAAAACAGCAAGAGAAAATGAGAAGCCACAAAAATGATATCAGATCCATCAGATGGTGTTGTATTTCGGTGTCGATGTTGACTTTTGCGGAGAGGTGGCTGCCAAGGTAGTAGAAATGGTCAACATTTTCTAATGTTACACCATTGAGCTGTATTTCTGGCATTGCCAGTTGAAAGAGCACTTTGGTTTTCTCAATGTTCAGTGAAAGACCAAACTTCTTGTATGCTTCTGCAAAGATGTTTAGAGTGGCTTGTAGGTACTCTGAATGAACACAGACCACATTATCATCAGCATATTGGAGTTCTATAACATGTTGTGGCCATTGTTTTTGGCTTTCAGTCTGCTGAGGTTAAATAACTTGCCTATTGGACAGATTGCAAGGTATTTAACCTCAGCAGACTGAAAGCCAAAACCAAGGTCAAAACAACATCTTTTATAGAACTCCAATATGCTGATGACGTCATCTCTGTGCATTCAGAAGAAGACCTACAAGCCACTCTAAACAATCACAGGCATGATTGGTGGGAACAAGAGAGAGGGCCTTCTCGGTGATGGCCCCCCTGGCTATGGAACTTCCTTCCTGGTGAGATCAGATCGGCCCCCTCCCTCCTGTCCTTTAGAAGGATGGTAAAAACTTGTCTGTGGGACCAAGCTTTTGGGACAGGGCAATAAAGCAGCAATAGGAAACTTTACCAGGCCAATTAGATTTGGCACAGATGACCAAGACGGTTTTAAACAATGTATTTTAATATAAAAGATAAATGTTTTTTAACTGGCCAGTTTATGTATGCATATAATGAATTCTTGTCCCGGTATTGAATGTTTGCCATATATATGCTGTGCTCTGCTTTGAGTCCCCTTTGGGGTGAGAAGGGCAGAATATAAATGTTTTAAATAAATAAATCAGGAAAATATGGGACCTATAGTCATTGGAAGCATCCCTGAAAATTCCCTTTTAAAACTACGTCTCCCTCATCAGGGTGCATCGAAGGGTCTCCTCGCACTTGAGCATTTATCCACTTCAATCCACTTTAAATACTGTGACTGCCTCCTGCAGAATTCTGGGCTTTGAAATTTAGGGAGGAGGCTTTTAAACTGCTCATCCAGAGAAGCCCTGGGCCTCCCTAAACTACAAGCCCAATAATTCTGCTTGAAGCAGTCATAGCATTTAAAGTGGACTGAAGTGGGCAAATGCTCAAGTGTGGGGAGGCCCTAATTCATGCACTTTCACTGCCATGGCTCAGAATTGTCCTTTGAGGCTTCTCTGCCAAAGAGGGCTGGTGCCTCACCAAACTACAACTCCCAGGACTCCACAGCATCCAGCCCTGGCAGTTCCAGTGGTCTCAAACTGCATTTCTTAATCTCCAATTCGGCCATGAATCCTGGCTAATAAGTTACAGCAGGCATGGGCAAACTTGGGCCCTCCAGGTGTTTTGGACTTCAACTCCCACAATTCCGGCTGTTAGGAATTGTGGGAGTTGAAGTCCAAAACACCTGGAGGTCCCAAGTTTGCCCATGCCTGTGTTACAGACTTAGGAGACTACTACTCCCAGCATGCAACGCGAACGAGTTTCGCGCGTCGACACTGAGAAAAGCCGCTCTCCGCGGCCGAAAAGCCTTGTGGGTGTTGTAGTTCTTCAGCCGAAGTGGCTCGAGGGCCGAGAGCAGGGCACGGACTCCATCTTCCAGGATGCGCCTCGCCGGGCGTGGAGGCGGTGGAGGCGACGCGGGGCCGTGGCTTCCTCTTTCCCGGCCATTGTCAGCCGGGCTGGAGGGCGGCAAGCGTTGTGGTGGCGGCGGCGGCGGGGCAGGAGGAGGGAATGAGCGAGGAGGAGGCGGAGGAGCCTTGCGGGAACGCGAGGAGCGGCGGCGGCGGCGGCAGGTGAAGGACGCGCCGCGCGGGTTTGTCGCCAGGGGACACGCCCCGCCCCTTTGGAACGCCGTTGCTAGGCTACACCCGTGCCCGCGAGGCCCCTCTTAGAAACGCGTTGCTAGGAGAGCGGGGAGGCCCCCGTGGAGTCGCCTCTCTAGGCCTGTGCCCTGCCATTGGTTAGAGAGGTTCAGAGGCAGCCTTCTTCCCATCCCCAAAAATCTGGGAGATGCGGATTCAGGTCCCCACAGAAACCTGGGGTGCATCTGCAGTGTAGAAGTAACGAGGGTTGGCTCCCCTTGACGTTCCAGGGCTCAATGCTATGGCATTATGGGCCTATAATCTGGGAATTATAAGCCTCTTGCACACCCTGAATGAAATCCCACAATATGTGGCAGTGTGGACACAGATAAGTTACGGCCCTTCCACATAGACATATAATCCAGAATATCAAGGCAGAAAATCCCACAATATCTGCTTTGAACTGGGTTATCTGAGTCCACACTGCCATATATTCCAGTTCAAAGCAGATAATGTGTGGTTTTATTCAGCTGTGTGGAAGGGGCAGATATTGTAGGATTTTCTGCCGTGATATTCTGGGATATATGGGTGTGTGGAAGGGCCTACACCCCTCAGATAACCCAGTTCAAAGCAGATATTGTGGATTTTTTTTGTTGTGTCAGGAGCAACTTGAGAAACTGCAAGTCACTTCTGGTGTGAGAGAATTGGCTATCTGCAAGGACGTTGCCCAAAGTCATGGAGGTTCCTTCTTTGGAAGCTTTTAAACAGAGGCTGGATGGCCATCTGTCAGGGGTGATTTGAATGTAACATTCCTGCTTCTTGGCAGGGGGTTGGACTGGATGGCCCATGAGGTCTCTTCCAACTCTTTGATTCTATGATTCTAAGGGAAGCCCAGATGTTTTGATGTTTTATCATCCTTGTGGGAGGCTTCTCTCATGTCCCTGCATGAGGAGCTGGAGCTGATAGAGGGAACTCATCCGCGCTCTCCCCAGATTCAAACCTGCGACCTGTCAGTTTTCAGTCCTGCCAGCACACGGGTTTAACCTACAGCGCCACCGTGGGCTCCATAATTGTGCATTATCTGCTTTGATATTCTGTGTTATATGGCTATGTGAAGGGGCCCAGAGGCAGGGCAATTCCAGTGAGACCAAACCACATTAATTCTGCTGTGTAGATGCATCCCTGGAGCTCAGTGGGACCCCTTCTACACTACCATATAAAATCCAAATCATCTGCTTTCAACTAGATTATATGATAGTGTAGAAGGGGCCTGGGTGACCTTGGGTTAGTCATTTGTGAGGCTAAAGCAAAGAGGAATGGAGCCATGTGAGACAAAACACATGAAGCAGAAGTCCATTGGCAGGGACCAATGGTGAAAAACATGTTTCACTCATTTATTTATTTTTTTGTTGTTGTGACATTACAATTATTATATGTGATTTTAATTGTTGTTTTAATGTTATGTTTTTAATAGATTTGGTTTTAACATTTTTGTATATTTACCAATGGATTAATATATGACATTGAATTGTTGCCTTTGTAAGGCTGCCCTAAGTCCCCTTCGGGATTGATATGGTAAATAAATACATACATTACAAAGTTATATTACAGCCCTCTGTATTTCCTGGAGTTAGGGGCAAAGGAGCCCATGAAAGTGAAAAACCATAAATCAAGAAATTACTATATATATTTTCCTCTAAGGCCCCTTCTACACAGCTGTATAAAATCCACATTGAACTGGATTATATGGCAATGTGGACTCAGATAACGTAGTTCAAACCAGATATTGTGGATTATGTGCCTTGATATTGTGGGTTATATGGCTGTGTGGAAGGGCCCTAAGAGAAGACTTGGAGAAATTTATTTAAATTTAAGAAATTTAAAAACTTCTGGGGATTTGTAGGTTTTCCAGCATGACTTTACAGTCATCTTTTGCTAAAAGCTGATAATAGAATTTCATAAGAGGATCTAAAGCAGAGGTGTGTTACAACATGTTAATGTGTTGGCTGCAGTGTGTAGGTGTGTTGCACAAACGTAATGAGAAACCTCTAAGTTTATGCAAAATAAGCAATAAATAATATATTTCAAAAAATATAAAGGGAAGTTTTCCATGTTATACGTTGTGTCTCCATAAATTTCATTATTACAGTGTATATATGTGTCCTTATTTATTGTGCAAGGTTGATTTAACCTCCAGTATGCTAGTAAAACTGGGTCACAAAATGATGCATGTCTAAAAAGTGTGTCACCAACATGAAATGTTTGGAAAGCTCCTATCTAGACATTCCTAGAGAGACTGTCTTTCTGGAAATCTTTGGGTGCTCCAGCAGGACTGGAGGAAGTTGATCATGAAGTCTGACTGGAGGATCTAGAGACTCCTAGAGAGAACATTTCAAATCAAATCCATGAAAAATCCACAGAAGTCAATCCACAAAACATGGAGAGGTGACTGTATGATTAAATATATCTAATAAATGATTTTTGCCTCACTCTGTATAACAACAGCCATGTACAGTGTCCAGTTCACCTCTCATGACTTAATACGCGGACTTGAAGGGGCTTGAAAGCAACCAATCCTTTCTAAAAGAGAGATGGCAGGGATGAAATCCTTTTGCTGTGGGTGCAGTGGATTCTATGTGACATTCCTGGTCATAAGAAAGAATACACCAGGGGAGAGAGTTGTTTTCTGATCTATTACTTTAGAATATACCTCACTTTTCCCTCTTTGCAACAGATCCGAATTGCTTGGATATGTCTATGCATGTTTACAAAGAAACTTGACCCTCAAGGGGTGGGGTTGTGCAACATGCTCCTAAACACCTTTGTTTCAAAGCCTGTTATACTTCAACACGGGGCTTGAATAGGACTGCAGTTTGTCAGAGAATTTTCCTATCCCATCTATATAAAACCAGGACCTTTTCCTCACTCATTTTGATGTAACACACAGAACTCACAGCTCTTTATTGCTGTACTGTACAAAAAAAAAGTTCCCATTTTTGGATTACTACTCCCAGAATTCCTCCAGTTAGCCTGGCTATTTTTCCAACATCTGCTCTGGAGACATATTATATGAATGGCTGTTTATCTCTTTCCATGTTTACGATTCCCCAAAGACATTAAGCTGGCTGCTCTTGTAAATGGAGTTCCTGGGCTAGATGGACTTTTACTCCATTCCAGTTCTTCTTCCTACCTGGAAACACAGACACCCATTGCCTATAGGAATGTGTTGAAAATAAATCTCCCATCCCTTGTTGTGATCACAATAGTCATAAAAATGACAAGAATAATGTTGCAGTCTTTCAGCAATCATTGGAAATTAACCTTAGGGTTTCTTCTTGATATATTTCTAACTTTATCCTTCCTATCATTCAAGATGGGGCAGAAGGATTGGCTTAGGGCGCTTCCAGACAGGCCCTATATCCCAGAATCTGATCCCAGGTTTATGCCAGATCATCTGGCAGTGTGGACTCATATAATCCAGTTTAAAGCAGAAAACCTGGGATCAGATCCTGAGATATCGGGGCTGTCTGGGAGGACCTTTAATTGTAGGCCTGTTGAAGGAGATAGTTGAGGGGGAGGTTCTGCTGTTGCAGCAGACATTGACTACTGTGGAAATATCATTTGATTATGGTGCTTGAGATGGGGTGTCTTTTCTTTGTGCCTTATCTTCACATCAATCCAGTTAGGTAAGTTAAACTGAGAGACTATCTGCACCTAAGTTTCATGGCAGAATGAGAATTGAAACCTGGAAATGAGTTGCTCCTAGCATTCATGAAGGATGAAAATATGCAAATTAGAGAGAAAAGATATGTGTAAGAACAAAGGTTTTTTTGAATTCCCATTGTACTTTGCAAATGGTTCTGCTGGCTGTTACTGATGGAAGTTGCAGTTGAACAGCACCTGGAGAACCACAGGTTCCCTCTCTCTGTTGTAGAAGATGGGATTGTGGAAGGTTCAGAAAGCTGACTCTTGAGCATTATGTCTTGTCTCTCAGTATAGAGCAAATGCTGGCCTCCAACCCCGGCAAGACCCCTATCAGCCTGCTACAAGAGTATGGGACACGCATAGGCAAAACCCCCGTCTATGATCTGCTGAAAGCCGAAGGACAGGCACACCAGCCCAACTTTACCTTTCGTGTCACAGTCGGTGACATCAGCTGCACTGGTTAGTTGCAATAAAAAACGGATGTGTGGATGAACCCTCTGCTAATTCTGTATTTTTTCGGGGGGGGGGGGGGGGGGGGGGGGGAGAGATCTTCCACTTTGTGCAGTCATTCACGTTTGATGGACAGTTGTTGTTCATTCATTCAGTCATTTCTGACTCTTTGTAACCTCATGGACCAGTCCACACCAGAGCTCCCTATCGGCCGTCACCACCCCAAGCTCCTTCAAGGTCAATCCAGTCACCTCAAGGATGCCATCCATCCATCTTGCCCTTGGTCGGCCCCTCTTCCTTTTTCCTTCCATTTTCCCCAACATCATTGTCTTCTCTAAGTTTTCCTTTCTTCTCATGATGTGGCCAAAGTACTTTATCTTGGCCTCTACTATCCTTCCCTTCAATGAGCAGTCAAGCTTTATTTATGGACTGGTTGGATCTTCTCGTAGTCCAAGGCACTCTCAGAACTTTCCACCAGCACCACAGTTGATGGGCAGAGTGGATATTAAAGAGTCTGTGTTGCTAGTTTTCCACTATTGTATGGGTGGTAGGAGGAGAGGGCATCTTTTTTCCCAGGTCGTATCCTCATAGGCCTTTACCCCATAAGAATCAGAACTATTAAAAGGGAAGCAAAGTGTCTGCGTGGAAACCACAATAATAATATTAAAATGCCATGTGTCTATAATTTTTCCTGAGGCTGATTTGTATCTTCTTTTGGGGCTCTAACGAGGATGAAGTTTCTTTCCTTTCTCTGTAGTAAAAAAGGTAGAGGTTTCCCCTGACATTCAGTCTAGTTGAATCTGACTCTGGGCAGTGGTGCTTATCTCCATTTCTAAGCTGAAGAGCCTGCATTGTCCATAGACACCTCCAAGGTCATGTGGCCAGTATGACTTCATGGAGCACCATTACGTTCCTGCAGAAGCTATACCTATTTATCTACTCACATTACATGTTTTCGAACTGCTAGGTTGGCAGAAGCTGGGCCTAATAGCAGGGGCTCACGTCACTCCCCAGATTCAAACTGCCAAACTTTCGGTCAGCAAGTTCAGCAGCTCAGCGGGGGTGCTTCCTTTCTCTGTGGTGCTTAAAATAATAATAATAATAATAATAATAATAATAATAATAATAATAATAATAAAAAACTTGATTTATATACCGCCCTATCTCCCCAAAGAGACTCAGGTCAGTTAAACCTGCTCCCCTCTTCAGAGTTACTAGACAGAGTCCAAAGTCCTCTCACATGGCCATTGTATGCCTTGTGGGGAATGGGCAGGATTGTAGCAATGCCTCCTTATAACGCCATATAACATTTTTAGCAGTTCCCATGGAAATCAAAAACTAGTGTCATGTCCACCAGCTACTCTCGAGAAGAGTGAACCAGCCTGAGGACCAAGATTTCAAGAGGAGTGAGGCTTTTCAGTGTTGAAAATTCAAAAGAAGGGGGGTTTGGATAACCAGATGGGGCCATGCAGCTGCAGTTTCTCCTTGTTTCTGCAAAGCTGGCCTGGTGAAATTGCCTCTTACATATACCCATGAGGACCCAGTAGTACTACACCATGTAACAACATTTGAAAAAAAAATCCTGCTTAATTGTGCAGTACTTACTTTGAAAGTAGTTGTTACACTCCAGAAACTTTGTTTTTGTGTCTGCCATAAACTATGTTGAATTGGTTGAAACTCAGTGAGATAGTCATTGAAAAACTAGATCAAAATGTGCTTTAGGATGTTCTGCAAAAACAAAGTTTTTTTCAGTTTAATAAACATTCTCCATGTATTTTATGATAGAACCAATTAGGAAATGACATTTATAACCCAGGAATAAAAATCCTGCTACATTATTAGGAAATAATTACATTGTCATGTTTCATAAATGAGAAATGCTGCATGCAGTGTTGGTCTAGCAGCACACGAGGAGCTGCATTGCTAAAGTTAAATAAGTTTGGGTTTGACCATGGGCTGGATGGGAGACAGCGAGTAATCCTCTGAGAATGCATCATCTTGGAGGAAAGGTAAGGCATGAATACAAAAATAAAGGGCTCTGTGTTTGGCTGGGGACTTTGTACGTATCCCTGTCAGGGTGCACCTTTAAAAATTACCCCTTCTGTTCTTGTAGCTTATCTGCTTTCTCTCCTGTTCCTCTTTCCAGGCCAAGGGCCTAGCAAAAAGGCAGCCAAGCACAAGGCAGCAGAGGTGGCGCTTCGGCTTCTGAAGGGAGGAAACATGTTGGAGCCTGCTGCCATGGAGGAAGCCAGGTGAGGAGGACACTATCCCGGATTGTTCAGAAGGCTACAGACACCTCCACTCCCAAGCCCTACCCTAAAAAAGATGTATCTTCTGAAAGATTTTTTTCTCGTGTCTTTTTTTTCCCCCTTCGTGTTGAAAGATAGTTGGTTCACAAAAAAAGGGATGGGCTTTTCTGTTGTTGTGGGTGGGAAGTAAAAAAAAAGATGAAGATAGGTCCACAATAAGGAGTGGTTGGGCACACCTCTTGAAGGCAGAAAGAAATGTGAGGAATCGAAGGAACTTAATTGGTTCTCTTTTTCACTCATAGGCAGACAGACAGACAGACAAGTGGCCTAGTGTAGTGACTGTTGGGCGAGTTGGCTTATTAACGAAAGACCCTCCCCATGAATGTACAGTAGAGAAACTTATCAGCAGTAGTGTGACCCAGCACCAGTAGCTCACAGTGATAAAAAAGAACAAAAACACAGCGACCAATGTTATAGTTTCCATAGTAGGCGTTTGTAGTAAAATAATGTAGTTGCACTATTTACAAGAACAAGGTTTCCATAGCACGAATAAATAAATACATAGTACCTTTACAGGCAGCAGCCTTCACACTGAAGCTTTCTCACATGAGACTTTTCTCACACAGAGATTTTCCTCACACTCCTCAGGGCGACACTAGCTTTGACCCACTAACTCTAACAGGCTTTGACCTACTCACTCTCCTCAGGACGACACTAGCTTTGGTCCACTGACTCCTACAGGCTTCGGCCTACTAACTTTCAGTGCTTGACTCACACTTTTGTAATCAAAAATACAAATTAATTTTAAATATTTCTGACAATGACTTCCCCACAATTTATAAAAATCAGATGCAGTTTTGGCCATTAGTTTCCTTGGTGTTTTCCACCAAATACTGGAAGCAAGCAAGGATATGCCCTTTAAACCTTCTGTCTTCATACCCACACTCTCTAATAGAAACCAAAATCTATTCCGAGCAATGCTTCAAAATGGTCCACGAGCCAATTAATGTGCAGATACTAAAAGACAAGGGAGTTACGGATGGATGGGAATTTCTCAAGAGTGAAATACTCAAGGCGCAATTGCAAACCGTGCCAACAAAGAGAAAAATAGGACAAGTGCAAAGAAGCCAGAATGGATGTCCAAAGAACTTCTAACTGTGCTAAGACACAAAAGAGACATGCACAAGAAGTGGAAAAAGGGAGAAATCACCAAAGAAGGATTCAAACAAATAGCCAACACCTGTAGGGAAAAGGTCCGCAAGGCTAAAGCACAAAACGAGCTCAGGCTTGCCAGGGACATTAAAAACAATAAAAAGGGCTTCTTTTCTTATGTCAGTAGAAAAAGGAAGAACAAGGAGGCGATAGGGCCTCTTCGAGGAGAAGATGGGGCAATGCTGACAGGGGATAGGGAAAAGGCAGAACTACTTAATGCCTTCTTTGCCTCGGTCTTCTCACAAAAAGAGAGTCTTCAACCTCAGCAAGATGGCGTGGATGAGGGATTGGAGGACATCCAACCCCAAATTGGGAAAGAAGTCGTCCAGGAATACCTGGCCGCTCTAAATGAGTTCAAGTCCCCAGGGCCAGATCAACTACACCCAAGAGTATTGAAGGAACTAGCGGAAGTCATTTCGGAACCATTGGCAATCATCTTTGAGAGTTCTTGGAGAACGGGAGAAGTCTCCAGCAGATTGGAGGAGGGCCAATGTGGTCCCAATCTTCAAGAAGGGAAAAAAGGATGACCCAAACAACTACCGTCCGGTCAGCCTCACGTCGATGCCGGGCAAGATTCTGGAAAAGATTGTTAAGGAAGCGGTCTGCAAACACTTAGAAACAAATGCAGTCATCGCTAATAGTCAACATGGATTTATCAAAAACAAGTCATGCAGACTAATCTGATCTCTTTCTTCGATAGAGCTACAAGCTGGGTAGATGCGGGGAATGCCGTGGATGTAGCGTACCTGGATTTCAGTAAGGCCTTCGACAAGGTCCCCCATGACCTTCTGGCAAGGAAACTAGTCCAATGTGGGCTCGGCAAAACTACGGTGAGGTGGATCTGTAATTGGTTAAGTGGACGAACACAGAGAGTGCTCACTAATGCTTCCTCTTCATCTTGGAAAGAAGTGACAAGTGGAGTGCCGCGGGGTTCCGTCCTGGGCCCGGTCCTGTTCAACATCTTTATTAATGACTTAGATGAAGGGCTAGAAGGCATGATCATCAAGTTTGCAGACGACACCAAATTGGGAGGGATAGCCAATACTCCAGAGGACAGGAGCAGAATTCAAAACGATCTTGACAGATTAGAGAGATGGGCAAAACTAACAAAATGAAGTTCAACAGTGACAAATGCGAGATACTCCACTTTGGCAGGAAAAACAAAATGCAAAGATACAAAATGGGGGAAGCCTGGCTCGAGAGCAGTACGTGTGAAAAAGATCTTGGAGTCCTCGTGGACAACAAGTTAAACATGAGCCAACAATGTGATGTGGCGGCAAAAAAAGCCAATGGGATTTTGGCCTGCATCAATAGGAGCATAGTGTCTAGATCTAACGAAGTAATGCTACCCCTCTATTCTGCTTTGGTTAGACCACATCTGGAATATTGTGTCCAATTCTGGGCACCACAATTCAAGAGAGATATTGACAAGCTGGAATGTGTCCAGAGGAGGGCAACCAAAATGATCAAGGGTCTGGAGAACAAGCCCTATGAGGAGCGGCTTAAAGAGCTGGGCATGTTTAGCCTGAAGAAGAGAAGGCTGAGAGGAGATATGATAGCCATGTAATAATATGTGAGAGGAAGCCACAGGGAGAAGGGAGCAAGCTTGTTTTCTGCTACCCTGGAGGACAATGGCTTCAAACTACAAGAAAGGAGATTCCATCTGAACATTAGGAAGAACTTCCTGACTGAGAGCTGTTCAGCAGTGGAACTCTCTGCCCTGGAGTGTGGTGGAGGCTCCTTCTTTGGAACTTTTAAACAGAGGCTGGATGGCCATCTGTCAGGGGTGATTTGAATGTAATATTCCTGTTTCTTGGCAGGGGGTTGGACTGGATGGCCCATGAGGTCTCTTCCAACTCTTTGATTCTATGATTCTATAATTCTATATGTTATTGATCAGCAAAACAGCGTTTGCCTTTGCCAATCAGGTGGGGAGCCAAATAGGATTACAAACACAGGTTATCACCACTCCACCTTCATGACATACTGCAATCACAATCAGTTCCCACACCCTTGGGATTGGACTGGGACACATTTCAGGGGTTATTTTCCCTAGATGCTGAGAGGCAGAAAACATTTGTTGTTAAGAAAGTTGAAACATGCCTGATGCTGCACACCTTGGCACAAAACTGTTTCTGATCCTGCATATAGCTCCCACCCCTTTATGTCAAGAGCCATGGGATGAGGGCCAGTTTTGCAGGCAAAATTTTTGTGAGGAATGGGAGGATGGATGCAGCATATCTGCAAAGAGCAAGAAAGTTCTGCATAAATACTTGGGATGGAGTTCATTTATTTTATTGTGTTTTGGAAAGTTAAATCAACTACAGGTAATTCTTGCACCTAAAACTTGCTTTTTTTAATGTTATCACCTTGTATTTCGAAGCTCTCCTTTTTCTCTAGAGCCCCTGGCTCAGACCACCATCCCAGCTGCCGCACCTGTGCCCATCTTGCCAGTTGCATCACCCAGGTAAGGGCAGGAAGGGAATCACAAGGAGTGGGCTACCTGGAACCTTCCAGCTGCTCATGTCCTTCCATGTTTCCCATTTGAATACTGCTGCTTTACTCAAAGAAGTTGGTGTTTGTTGCAGAATGTTCCCTCTGCTTCTGCCCTTTGTCCTTACAACTGATTTCCCCCAAGCTCGAAGTATAGCAGATGAGGCTCTAGTTTTGGTGGGGCTGCCCCCTTTTCAGCAGCTACCAACACGCTGGAAGTGTAAAATAAGAAGTGCAATTGGGATTGCAAGCAGTTGGTGATTGCATATCAAAGATGGGTTCCTTTGGTGCTTCTGGAATTCCATTTTCTGCTCCTGGGATGTTCTGGGTTTCTCAGACTCTTTTAAATGAACAAAAAGAAAAGCCACAAGTGGATAGAAGTTCACGTATGTTTTTAGGAAATGTTGAAAAACGTCAAATATGGATGGGCTGCAGTCTGTTTAAACCGTCAAGAGGAGCAAATTCACACACATTTTGCCAGGAAAGGGCCAGTTTCAGGGACTGCAGGACTGGACTTTACCCATCTTTGTTATTTGGCATTATTTAGTAGCCTCTTCAGTCTGGCATCCCAAATCCTGATTGATTGATCAATGTCTTGCCCTACAAAGGATGTCTAAAATATCCTCATATCTCTAACTAGGTGATGGGTGGTGGTTTTTACATAAAGAAAATGTGGGGAAATTGCTTATCACGTGGCATCTTTTATCTAGAAGCTCCCCATTGGAAATGAAGTCCCCAGTATCACCGCAGCAGTCGGAGTGCAATCCGGTTGGGGCCCTGCAGGTAGGCAGTTTTATGTGGTTTATTACAGGCAGTCCCCAAGTTACGGACAAGATAAGTTCTGTAGGTTTGTTCTTAAGCTGAATTTGCATATAATTCGTAACAGGTACATTTTTAAGTGTAACTCCAGCCAAATCTATCTATCTATCTATCTATCTATCTATCTATCTATCTATCTATCTATCTATCTATGGATATCATAGAGGATGGTTTACACCTCTGTTGTGTTTGTTTTTGCCCCTGGTCATAAGATTTCACCTTACGTTCTCTTTCTGTGGTAATTGCATTTTGAAAAATGTGGCTTGTTGAGGAAACAAGGACAGGTGAGAAAGCTTCAGTGGAGACACCTTTTCCCTATGAGAACACTTCTCTAGGAATCTTCAGGTCTTCTAGCATTACTTTGTGGTCCAATTCCACTCAAAATGGAACAGACATAGATAATCTTCATGAGACTTCTGAGATCTTGATTTCTATCCAGAAACAGTCTATGGTTCTTGTAGTTTTGAAAGGCAATAAGCCACGCTCTTCACTTCAAAAGATCACTAGATTCCCAAGAGAGAATATGATAGAGCTGCCTTTCCTCTTCACTTCAGCACTTTCAATAATTGGTTTTGTAATCGGGTGTCTGATGAGCCTTTCTAGTGTCTTTACGTGATTGTAGGATGGGTTACTTTTCTGCCCAGTTTCACTTGCACCACATTCCTCTATAGGCCTACTAAGTTAAACGAGGCTTACTTCCAAATACGTCTAAATAGGCTGTAGCTTTATGTATGTATCCATACAACAATGGAGTTAAGAGCTCTCATGCCCTCTGTGGAATCCACGACATGTGAGTGTGGAGAAGAGCAAACTACAGACCACCTGCTGCAATGCAACCTGAGCCCCACCACATGCACAATGGAGGACCTTCTTGCAGCAACACCAGAGGCACTCCAAGTGGACAGTTACTGGACAAAGGACATTTAATCAACTACCAAGCTTGCAAACTTTGTGTTTTGTTTGGTTGTTTGTTAAAAAATGCAACACAACTGTTTGGTCTGCTCCTGACACGATAAATAAATAAATAAATGCCCTCTATGAATCTGGGGGTGGATGGCTTTTTAGAGTGTTCTGCCTCTTTTTGTCCCATTATCCAGGAGCTGGTAGTGCAGAAGGGCTGGCGTTTGCCTGAATACACTGTCACTCAGGAATCAGGACCAGCACACCGCAAGGAATTTACCATGACCTGCCGCGTCGAAAGATTCATTGAAATAGGTACTGGAAAGCAGGCCTAGGGTGGAGAATATGTTTGGTCAACCAGTGACAGGGTAGAATGTGGTGAGATACAGAGGAAAAAACTACAAGCTTGGGGTACAGAAGATTTAGAGACCGTAGTTTGAGCTGTGTATACTCTTCCCTAGGCCTGTGCAGTGAAGTTATTCCACTCACGAGGCCTCAGTAGGGGTTGATGAGGACAGCTAGAATTGAGGGCTATCTATTGGGGATAATGGTTGGATCACAACCTGTTAGTGTAGGGGCAAAAATGTCCCTCTCATTAGGATCACAACCCATCAGGGGTAAGCAGAGTTTGAGAAGAGTATTCCTTGAGTTTATTTGATGCTTTGGGCAGGCAAAGATTCAAGCAGAATAACAATGTTTATTTACTTATAACTTCATGTATTTAATGATGCAGGCACATTTCTTTTGAGGGTTAAAAACTTCAAAAATGTTTGAAGAGTTTGTATCTTAAAACACATAAACTTTAACTCAGTGTTTCTTAACCTGGGGGTCGGGACCCCTAGGGGAGTCACGAGAGGGCTTCAAAGGGGTCACATTGCAGGAGTGGACGTTGGCTTCCACCTTGAGTGGGGTGGCAGGAGGGGTCTCCCCAACCGAATGGTGGTCTGGAGTGAAGCTGGCGCTCCGGCGAAGAGGGATCCGCAGCACCATGTCAGCAGAAGAGTTTGTATCTTAAAACACATAAACTTTAACTCGGTGTTTCTTAACCTGGGGGTCGGGACCCCTAGGGGAGTCACGAGAGGGCTTCAAAGGGGTTGTCAAAGACCATTAGAAAACTCATATTTCTGATGGTCTTAAGAATCCCTTTGGCATAGTCGCGTGGGTTCACAGTGCTCTAGAGATGTAGGTGAACTACATCTCCCCTAAATCACTGTCAGTTCATCCCAAACCCCTCCAGTATTTACTGATGGTTATGGGGGTTCTGTGTGGGTAGTTTGGCCCATTTCTATCATTGGTGTGATTTCATTGTAGGTGAACTATAAATCCCAGCAACTAGTGCAACTCCCAAATGTCAAGGTTTATTTTCCTCAAACTCCACCAGTGTTCACATTTGGGCATATTGGGTATTCATGCCAAGTTTGGTCAAGAGCCATCATTGTTTGAGTTCGCAGTGCTCTCTGGGGTTAGGTGAACTACAACTCCAAAACTCAAGGTCAATGCCCACCAGACCCTTCCAGTATTTTCTGTTGGTCATGGGAGTTCTGTGTGCCAAGTTTGGTTCAATTCCATTGTTGGTGGAGTTCAGAATGCTCTTTGATTGTAGGTGAACTATAAATCCCAGCAACTATAACTCCCAAATGACAAAATTAATCCCCCAACCCCACCAGTATTCAAATTTGAGCGTATTGGGTATTTTTGTCAAATTTGGTCCAGTGAATAAAAATACATCCTTCATAACAGATATTTACATTACGATTCATAACTGTAGCAAAATTACAGTTATGAAATACCAGCGAAAATAATTGCATGGTTGGGGGTCACCACAACATGAGGAACTGTATTAAGGGGTCGCGGCATTAGGAAGGCTGAGAACCTAAAACTGAGCAAACCTCAAAATAGAATTAATTACTAACACTATTAAAAAATAAACAGCTACAGTCCTTAAAACTAATTACAAACCTATTCTTAACTAAAACCACAACACCCCCCAACTTGATCTTAAAAATCTCCTTCTTAGCCTGCCATCAGAAGGATAGGAGGAAGCAGGCCATTCTAGCTTCCCAGGGTTTGAGGGGCAGCCACCAAAAAGTTCCTGTTCTCTCTTGTCCCTATCAACCAAGCTTGTAATGGAGGTGGGACTGAGAGAAGGGTCTCCCCTGAGGATCTCAGGGCCTGGGGATACAATCTGCCAAACAATCTGGACCTGAGTTCTATAGGTCATAACCAGCACTTTGAATTGTGCCTGGAAGCAAACTGGCACAGTTCATGGCAGGCTAGAAATACATTGGTTTCCAAACAGCCATCAAAAGTGTTGTCCCTTACTATCCTTTCTCATAGGTTCTTTCTTGCAACAGATGTCCCTGCAATTACTATATTTTCAATTTCTAAGATGTACCTTTTCCTCTGTATAAACATCCCTAAAAGTGGGCATTTCTTAGAAATTCAGGGTATTTTCCTCTATATATATGAATAAAGCTTTTTTTTTTTCCTGTTGGTGATGCTGAAATTAGGGTTCACCTTACCATGGATAGCGTCTTAGAATTGAAGAAATGCAGAACATATCCACACCATCTTTGAATCACCATCTCACTCTTTCTTTCTTCTCCCACCAGGCAGCGGCACTTCCAAAAAGTTGGCCAAGCGGAACGCTGCAGCCAAGATGCTGGTGCGAATCCACAACGTGCCTCTGGACCCTCGAGAGGGCAGTGAGGCTGAAGTGGAGGAGGACCAGTTCTCTATTGTGAGTCTGGGCAGGGCAGGAGAGACAGATCCACTCCGTAGGACCAGTCTGGGTGCCCTAGGTGGGCCTCTAAGAGGGGTGAATCAGACTCGACAAAGAATCCCACATTGGAAGTGGCTTCTAGACAGTGAGGCAGTACTCGGAAGCAAATGTTGTGCTGCTGTAAGCTGTAGGCTCCCACACCGTCCTCCTTCCATAGAGATTTGAAGACTTGGATGTTTAAACTAGCCTTTGAGAATGTCTAGCACCAATGGTCCGCAGTTAATGACACAGCACTGCACTTTCATCCCATGCTCTTGTTCCTTAGCCAAAGTTTGCACTATCCCATTCCCTTGTCTTGTTTATAGTTTGGCCATGTCTTATGGCAGTTGTCACCATAGGTTATTGGACATTGTTCTGAGTTTTAAAGTGTTGTTTTTATATGCTACTAGCCGTCCCCTGCCACACGTTGCTGTGGCCCAGCCTGTGTATATGTGTTTTGTGCGTGTGTATATGAGCGTGTGTGTGTTTGTGTATATGTGTAAATATGTGTGCTTGTGTATATATGTGGTTTGTGCATGCGTTGTAATGTAATTTTTGTTTTTTGGCTTTTTAAGTCCCTTCTGCTGTGTTTGGCAGTGTTTTTATGAGTGATGGTCACTCGTTGGCCTGATAGGTGTATTGTGTCCAAATTTGGTGTCAATTCGTCCAGTGGTTTTTGAGTTCTATTAATCCTACAAACGAACATTGCATTTTTATTTATATAGATAGATTGGTTTTACTTTTTTGGATTGTACTGTTTAATGATGATGATGGTTGTTGTTGTTGTTGTTATTATTATTATTATTATTATTAATATTATTATGTGTCAAACTTAAGACTGTGGGCCAAATCTCGACTTCCATGTGATTTTATGTGGCGCTCCAGATACTGGGCTACAACTTCTGTATTCCTTATTATTAGATATCATGGCTAGAGCTGGTGGGAGTTGTGACACAATGACATCTGGAAAGCTGCAGTTTTGTCTGTTTAGTCAGGAGAGTGGGGTTTGCATTTAGATACAAGTCTTGTGGATATGATGTCTGGCTTTATAATGTCCTCTAACTCTTTCCAAACCTCAGAGCCATAAGTGTGATTGGGTTGCAATTCCTATTATTTCCAGTTCATATGGCAGATAATCAAAAGTGATGGGAGTTGTCATTTAGTAACATCTGGGCACTTGAACTGGGTAAAAAGTAAACAGCACTGATGGTTATGTTTAAAAAAAGATAGTTGGCCCTCTGTTTCCATGGATTTTTCCTCCATGGATTCAACAGCCCTTAGAAGGCAACCATAAAGCTGATGTGGCCCTCAAGGAAAATGAGTTAGACAGCCCTACTTTAAGAAAGCATGTCTGTGCAAGCCTCCATCCTAGTGTGAGGTCAGTGGTCAAGGTTTGTGAGGTCAGTGGTCAAGGTTCTGTGCTCTCTGCCCTAATTCTGAAGCATTATCTGGTTTCTAGGCAACAAAGTCTCCTGACTTCAGCAAGAACCAGCCCAGCTGTACTGCAGGCAGGCATGCTCCACAGATCAACCAGCCATCAGAGCTATATAGAGCAGGTCTGCACCAACCAAACCTAAGGGTTTAAAGGTCCCGAACTGTGAAGCCTTTTAATGCTCATGAATTAATTTGTGGATATCTATATACTCACCAATAGGCCCCCTGGTGGCAGTGGGTTAAACTACTGAGCTGCTGAACTTGCTGACCAAAAGGTCGGCAGTTCACATCCAGGGAGTGGGGTGAGCTTCCACTGTTAGCCCCAGCTTCTGCCAACCTAGCAGTTCGAAAACATTCAGATGTGAGTAGATCAATAGGTACTACTTCTGTGGGAAAGGTAACATTGCTCCATGCAATCATGCCAGCCACATGACTTTGGAGGTGTCTACGGACAACGCCGGCTCTTCGGCTTAGGAATGGAGATGAGCACCACCCCCCAGAGTTGGACACGACTAGACTTAATGTCAAGGGGAAACATTTACCTTTACTATATACTTGCCAAGCTTCAGAACTCATGGTTCTTTTCCAGAGGCACAGAGGTTAGAAACATTACCTTTTTGGATTGCAATTTGTATCCTAAAAGAGTAGCGTTTCCAAACTCTGTAGAGGTGTGCGATGAGCACAAAATGATTATGCAGTGAACTTCGGCAAAAAGAGGAAGATGACAAGATTACACAGAAGTCATGCTACTTAACCATCAAGGTTTATAGAAAAAGGAAAGTTTAATTAGTATATCCACCCTCTTGTGCTGGATGGGTGGACCAGTGGTTCTCAACCTGTGGGTCCCCAGATGTTTTGGCCTTCAACTCCCAGACATTCTGACAACTGGTAAACTGGCTGGGATTTCTGGGAGTTGTAGGCCAAAACACCTGGGGACTCACAGGTTGAGAACCACTGGGCTGGAAGTTCCTAATAAAAGTAGCAACAAGGAAGGTTTTGAGACAGGAAATTGGAATAATAATAATAATAATAATAATAATAATAATAATTTTTATTTTATTTTAATACCCCGCCTCTATCTTCCCGAAGGGCCTCGAGGCGGCTTACAAAGGGACAAGCCCAGAGAGCACTGAGTTAAAAACATAACACAATAAGATAAAATCAAAACAAAACCAAATAAAAACATAACACAATAAAACATAACTTAAGAAGAAAGGGGGATGCTGAGGTGATAGGCAAGACTTGGGAGACTAGAAAGAACAGGAGATTCTCCAAGTCTTGATGGGTAAGATGGACCCTCTTGAGGGCAAAATGAGTAGAATCAATGGAGGTATGGTAACCTCATTTCAGATTAATGGTACACATCAGAGCTCACTTGGTCGGGAAGACTGAGAAACTCACTGCTCTCTGAACCACCAAACACAAAGTGGATTAATCACCCTACTGAGATAAACTTTAAGCGCCAGGCTTTCTAAGAATAGTTTAGACATCACAAGATGGGTTTTAAACAAGAGGCAGTGGCAATTGATTTGGAACATCCAATTTAACCATTGTTGGAGCCCAGGAGGCAAGCGGTTTGTCCCAGAAAACGGGAATCTGTAATGATAGCGAATTCACCTACCCCCATCCTTTTGAAATGTCATTGCCTGAAGGAAAAGGGAACACAAAGGGCACAAGGATGTTAATAGAAAGCAGTACAAGGAAGAGAAGGGTGGTAGATGGATAATTTTCCACTGATTAATTCTGTCACTAGCCGTAGAGTCTAGAACTCCTTCTGGTTGCATTGGCAATTTATTTAGGGACCCAAAACAAGGCCAGGATCTATGTGGGTCCTTGTCTTGATGTAGGAAAGCTATACAAAATCTTAGAAGAGAGGCATTTTTATAGCATCCCCAGATGCCCTGAATATCTTCTCCAAAGAGCAGGGAAATCCTCCAGAACCAAATTCTGGGAGTGGATGAAAAGCAAGTGATGTGAGCAGATAGGAGCTGCAGCTACTTGACATCTTTCAACACCTGCCAATGGACGTCAATGGATTTGTGTGCCCATGACAAGGAGTCTTGTAAGGGCCCCCAAGTAGAATGATTTGGACTGATTGTGTCATAGGGCTGCACTATAAATTTATTTATTTATTTATTTATTAGCAGCAGTTATTTTCTGCCCTTCTGACCCTGAAGGTGATTCAGGAGAGAACACAGAACACATACACGGTAAACATTCAATGTTGTTAAACAGACAGAACAGACAACAGATAGAAGCATCCCTCCCCTCCCAATCTTTGATGTCCTGGAGGTTGTGCTCAATTTTGGCCACAGGAGGGTGCTGTCACTCCATCTTCTATGCTGAAAAGCCTTGATCACAAACTTCCTCCGATTGCCGGCATTTTTCTGGTATTTCCTTTATGGTGCTGTACAATTCCTTCCCGCTTAAGTGGTGCCTAATTTCTCTACTCAGATATCACAGTTGTTTTCAAACTTCTTAGGTCAGTGGTTCTCAACCTGTGGGTCCCCAGGTGTTTTGACCTACACCTCCCAGAAATCCCAGCCAGTTTACCAGCTGTTTCGGGTTTCAGGGAGTTGAAGGCCAAAATATCTGGGGACCCACAGGTTGAGAACCACTGGCTTAGGTGGACAGTAAGCTGGGCTGAAGGTCGGGTGCTCACTCCTGCCTCAGCTTCGAACTTGCAACCTTTTATTGGAAAGATCTATTGCTGCTGGGGATTAACCAGCTGTGCTAAAGCCCGGCTGGCTCTATCTTGGATAAGGATACTTTGGGACTGAACTCGGTTTCCAACCAAAGTTGTTGACAGGCCACTTTAAAAATATCCTTGTGGGAAATCTGGTTCCAGTAATGGTATTTTAGGGAAGGTCTTTGTGTTTATCTTGAGAGTTTGAGATGGGAGCCTTAGCTGAACCTGCAAAGCATATATGTGTTCCATCCATGAGCTGTGGACCTGCCCTTGGAACAAGGTGCAGGGTTGAGAGTGGGGATTACTCAAACTAAAGTAACTTTGACAGAAACAGCGATTTTCTGAAGTACTGATCTGGGAGGGGTCATTTGCCTTCTGGTGGTTGTTTGAAAATGATTCCAGTCTTCCCGGTTCTCTTTACCCAATCTCTCCCCCTCATTCCGCTTCTCAGACTGCAGGAAACAAAATGGATGGAGTGAAAGGGCGGGGATCCGGCTGTACCTGGGACTCTTTGCGCAACTCAGCTGGAGAAAAGATTTTGCACCTGAAGAGCAATCCCCTTGGGGTGCTGAATGCTGGTTTCTGCAGCCTCTTGGAGGAGCTCTCAGAAGAGCAGAGTTTTGACATCAGCTACCTCGATATTGGTAAGGGGTCTTGAGGCACAGACCTAAAGAGGATGGGGCGGTCCTTTTGCATCTCTGAGAGTCATGGGCTCTTCTTCATTGGCAATTTTAAACAGAAGTTAGATGACAAACGGGTTTGGATGGTCTGGCAAGTATGTGTTATGAGTGTGATTGCTTGCTTGGGCAACCCACCCCTGATCTCACCTGAAAATCTCCCCTGCCTGTGTCTTCTCCCCTTAAATATGTGAATTGATGTTTCTCAGTTACCAACTGAGATTGATGTCTCTTGATTCTCCCCACAGATGAGATGAGCCTGAGTGGGCTGTATCAGTGCTTGGTGGAACTCTCTACGCAGCCGACCACTGTGTGCCACGGCTCAGCCACCTCTCGCCATGCGGCCCGGGCAGATGCTGCCCGCAATGCCCTTCAATACCTCAAAATCATGGCAGGGGGCAAATGAGCCTCCCGCGAATAGCACTGATGACTTGGCAGCTGGGGATTCCCAAACACTTGAGATCCCCCTAATTCTTTCCTTTCCCCCTTCCTGCCTGCTAAGGAGAGGGCTTCCTTTCCTTGCTATGAAATGGCAGCAAGGTGGGGAGACCGCTGGCAGGGTCTGCAAGAGGAAAAGCTCCCAAGTTCTGATGGGTTGTTATTTTCAGCAGGAATCAAGACTTGGAGGGAGCTGGTTTGTCCACAGCAGACAAGAGGTTGATGGCTCTGACTGGTCTTGAGGGCTAGTTGCTGGTACTGCCATCCGGAAACCTTGGTTTTTCCCCTCCTCCTCCTCCTTTTCCTCCTCTTCCTCCTCCGTGGCTCACATGAGGCCACCCTGGTTCTTCTTGGTCATGATGGTGGAACCAAACATTAATTCTGCTATGGCTGGGAGGATGCAATAAATTGGATTTTTTAAAGGAGGTCTCTTTTTTTAATCTGGGCAATTCAGATAATTACTATGCATACGCAGATCCCTGGAATTGTACTACTTTCAGTTCTGTTCCTTCAGTTAAAGACCTGCAGGCATATTATCTTTTGTTGTTGTTCATTTGTTCAGTCATTTCCGACTCTTCGTGACCTCATGGACCAGCCCACGCCAGAGCTCCCTGTCGGTCGTCACCACCCCCAGCTCCTTCAAGGTCAATCAAGTCACTTCAAGGATGCCATCCATTCATCTTGACCTTGGTCGACCCCTCTTCCTTTTTCCTTCCATTTTCCCCAGCATCATTGTCTTCTCTAAGCTTTCCTTTCTTCTCATGAAGGCATATTATCTACATTATTTATATTCCTCCCTTTTCACCCCAAAGGGGACTCAAGGTGGATCACTGAACACATATATGGTAAACATTCAATGCTGATTATATAATGACAAGATAGACAACAGATAGAGGTATGTTGTAGGTTTTTCAGGCTATATGACCTTGTTCTAGAAGCATTCTCTCCTGACATTTATGGCAGGCATCCTCAGAGATTGTGAGGTCTGGCCCTATAGAATATGGCCATATAGCCCAAAAAACCTACAACAACCCAGTGATTCTGGCCATGAAAGCCTTCAACAATAGAGGTATATTTAGGGTTTTTTTCTCATAATTCGGCATCTTTTGAAGGCTGTGCTCGGTTCTGGCCACAGGGGGTGCTGTCGCTCCATCTTGTCCAAGAGCTTTCTTTGTTCGTAAACTTCCCTCTGAAACACGGTGCCCAAAACTTCCCTGTTCCTATTCATCTACTCACATTGCTGTTTTCGATCTGCTAGGTGGGCAGGGAGCTGGACTGAAGGCCAGGAGCTCACCCTGACTTGGCTCTGAACTGTCAACTTTTCGGTTGGCGCAATTTACTGCAGCTGCAGCTGGTGATTAACCTGCTGTGCTAAAGCTGGCCCAAGTGAGCATAAGCAATCATTTTCTTTAGACTTCTTGACCCTTTTTTGCTGCAGTTTGATGGGATCATCTAGTTAAGTGCTGAGTTCTATAAAATGCCCCTAAAAATGCACTACTAGAATGCAAAAAAGAAAGTCCTATATTTTCCTACCTGTTTCCATGCTGATTTTCTATGCACTGAAAGTCTCGTGCATGGAGCTGTATGTCGTGCTCATGCATCTCATGTATTGGAGCTCTCTGTCTTTTTCTGACCTGTGAGACTACTACAACGCCACCTTTATATAGTTTTACTTATCCAAAGCTCCTATTGCTTACACTTTCATGAAACTTCTTGTTAGGGACAACAACTAAATAAAGCCTCACGTGAAGAGGCAGGACACTCTGAATACTAGTCTCAAGGTTAAAAGGGACTTAACACCATTGTCTCTAATTGCCAGGAAAATTTTAGTTAGCCCCCAGTGGTACAAGAGGTTAAACCCTTATGTGAGCAGGGCTGTTGACTGACAGGTTGCCAGTTCGAATCCAGGGAGCAGGGTGAGCTCCCATCTCAGCTCTAGCTTCCCATGCGAGAACACGAGAGAATCCTCCCACAAGAATGGTAAAAACATCCAGGTGTCCCCTGGGCAACGTGCTTGCAGAGGTCCAATTCTCTCACCCCAGAAGTGACTTGCAGTTTCTCAAATCGCTCCCAACACAAAAAAAAATAAAAAAATTGCCAGGAACATTTTGTATAGTCGCACTTGGGACAAGGTACTGAGCAAGGTGAAGACAAGCAGCAATTACCGACTGAGTGTAACACAAATTCCAGAGATGATTCATCTTTCTAGAAAGTATTAGTCCTTTTGACACAACATTTGGTGCTGTGCCATACTCCCCATTTCTTCTTCATTCATCTATGATGTAGTTGGTTCTATAAGCTATATGGTGTGAAGGAACTAGGTTGTGTCTGCACAGAGCTCTATGACATTGACTGTTTTTTCCCTTTTTTGTTGTCCAGTGGATACGTAAAACAATATAATTCAGTGTCACAAGTGGTGGCATTGCTGGACTTGTAGAGAGATTAGATCAGTAGTTCTCAACCTTCCTAATGTCATGACCCCTTAATTCAGTTACTCGCGTTGTAGTGACCTCTGCACCATAACATTTTCGTTGCTAATTCATAACTGTAATTTTGCTACTGTTATGAATTGTAATGTTAATATCTGATAAGCAGGATGTATTTCCATTTACTGGACCAAATTTGGCACAAATACCCGATACACCCAAATTTGAATACTGTTGGGGTTCAAGGGGAGGGGATTGATTTTGTCATTTGGGAGTTGTAGTCGCTGGTATTTATGGTTCACCTACAATCAGAGAGCCTTCTGAACTCCACCAACAATGGAATGGAACCAGACTCGGCACACAGAACTCCCATGACCAACAGAAAATACTGGAAGGGTTTGGTGGGCATTGACCTTGAGTTTTGGAGTTGTAGTTCACCTAAACCCAGAGAGCACTTTGGACTTGGGAGTTGTAGTTCACCTACATCCAGAGAGCACTATGGACTCAGTGATGGATCTGGACCAAACTTGGCACGAATACTCAATAGGTCCAAATATGAACACTGGTGGAGTTTGAGGAAAATAGACCTTGACATTTGGGAGTTGTAGTTGCTGTGATTTATAGTTCACCTACAATCAAATAGCATTCTGAATTCCACCAACAATGGAATGGAACCAGACTTGGCACACAGAGCTCCCTTGACCAACAGAAAATACTGGAAGGGTTTGGTGGGCATTGACCTTGAGTTTTGGAGTTGAAGTTCGCCTACCATCTAGAGAGCATTGTGGACTCAATGATGGATCTGGACCAAACTTGGCATGAATACTAAATATGTGAACACTGTGTTCCAAATGTGAACACTGATGGAGTTTGAGGAAAATAGACCTTGACATTTGGGAGTTGTTATTGGGATTTATAGTTCACCTACAACCAAAGAACATTCTGAACTCCACCAGTGATAGAACTGGGTCATAATTTCTTCACCTTTTTTCCTAGTGATGTAACAAAACTTTAAGAAACACATATACATTTTCTTCATGTACAGATTTCTCTTTCCCATACCCAACGTTTGTTCATTTTCCTCCCATTTAATTAGCTAAGATGAAGGGAAATGTAGTTCAAGCCATTTAGAGGGCACCATGCTGCCTGCCCCATAGAGTCTACATAGCAAAGGGACTGTGGAGCTTTCCAAGATGTAATAGTGTTTATTTATGACCATTAACAATTAGCAAAGCACAAGGCCCAAACAAGAGCGCCAGCTGCCCAGTTAATTCACAGTGACAACAGAAACGAGGGGCAGGAGAAGACAGAATCCACTGAGCAATAGTTCCGGGTTGGGATTTGTTTTGGGGTTTATTTTCAGGTGTGGGGTTGGCATTGTACTTTCTAGCTTCATTTCTTGCCAAAGCGTTGTGGAACTGCCATGCTCAGAAACTGAGGCGCATTGGAATCCCATGCCCGAGGGTTCATTCGGACACTGCTGGGACCGGACCGGGCATCACGGCCAAACCTAGAGAGAGTCAGAACACAATGTGAACATTTCAGGTGCTGCAGTAACATCTTTGGTGCTTGAAGATAACAAGCCCTGCCAGTTTCCTGTGTCACTTCCTAGTATTCATTCAGGCCCTCTGCCTTGTCCCCAATCCACATCCCCTGCTTATTTCAAATGCCTGGAGAGAAGCAGGAATAGAATTCTAGAGTTGGAAGAGATCTTGTGGGCCATCTAGTCCAACCCCCTGCCAAGAAGCAGGAAAATAACATTCAAAGCACCCCTGACAGATGGCCATCCTGCCTCTGTATAAAAGCCTCCAAAGAAGGAGCCTCCACCACATTCCGGGGCAGAGAGTTCCACTGCTGAAGAGCTCTCAAAGTCGGGAAGTTCTTCCTCATGTTCAGGTGGAATCCCCTTACCTGTAGTTTGAAGCCACTGTTCCACGTCCTAGTCTCCAGGGCAGCAGAAAACAAGCTTGCTCCCTCCTCCCTATGATTTCTTCTCACATATTTATACATGGCCCTTATCATGTCTCCTCTCAGCCTTCTCTTTTGCAAGCTAAACATGCCCAGCTCTTTAAGCCGCTCCTCATAGGACTTGCTCTCCAAATCCTTGATCATTTTAGTCGCCCTCCTCTGGACACTTTCCAGTTTGTTGACATCTCTCTTCAACTGTGGTGCCCAGAAATCGTGCCCTCTTCCACTCATTCCAAGGAGAACCAATGAAATGCCTTGCTAGATCATGCATGGTTCATTGAATTCATCACCCTCTCTCCCAAGACTGGCCAGTAAGATGGAGCTGAGAAGCTCCAAACAGAATTGTATAGACATGGTTTGTCCCTACGACCTAGTATGCATTTGTGAGTTTTTAATTAGCAAAGCCAGCCCAAGAGTTTTCAAAGCCCGAGGCCAAGAAAGGATGGTACTCTCACCCTCCCACCCCGCAAGCATCCCAGGGATCCTGGCAAATTGTAATCAATACATTTTTAGGAATTTGAAAAAATCAAGTTGAATAAATGAAAATTCTGTTGCTTGGATTGCAGGCATTGCATTGCATTTGGCTGGCAACATTCAAATGTTTTAACGTCCGGCATCCTCAAACTGCAGCCCTCCAGCTGTTTGGGCCTCCAATTCCTAGAATTTCCGACTATTAAATAAGCTGGCTAGGGCTTCTGGGAGTTGGTGGCCAAAACAGCTGGAGGGCCACAGTTTGATGTTGCCTTCTTAATATGATGCACATCAGCATAAAAATAAATCACTGGGTTTGTGCTTTCCTCTTCCTCTCCTTTGATTCCACAGCACGGAAAGGAAAAATGAGCCAGGTTTTAGTTTTGCCAAGATTCCTGTTCAATGCTAACCAGGAATAGTCAATTGCTAATAATAATAATAATAATAATAATAATCTTTATTTATACCTCACCACCATCTCCCCAAGGAGACTCAGGGCAGCTAACATGAGGCCAAGCCCAACAATTACAATAAAGCAAAAAAAAATTACAATAATACATCAAATAAAAATATAATAAAATATAACAAAAGAAAAATACAAGATAAACACAGGATATAATATGAAATAACGAGAAATTGAACAGAGTGGGCAGGGCCAATTGCAAAGGATAAAAATTTAAAAACCCAAGGTGAGATGAGTAGTGTAGTGTATCTGGAAGGAAGTTCAGATGGGACAAGCAATGGGCAATGGACAAGCTAACACAGCTTGTATGCTGCCCATTGCTTGTCCCACCTGAACCTCTTTCCAGTCCAACTACTTGTGAAAATCTGAAGTATCATAGCTGACTTGCAAACCAAGCCAGAATTTACTTTTAAATCACAGTTTGCAGTTCACATGGAATTAAAAACCAGAAAATAAAGTGAAATTGAATCCCAATTTATTCCTTCCAGGAGGAGAGGAGAAGGCATTTTTATCCTCGATATTTTTCTTGGGCTTCTTTTTGTTTCTCTAAATCAGGGATAATTTACAAGGATCCAGAAACTAATTTTGCTCTTCCCACGGAGGTGAGGAGGCCATGAAGGGTGATAGCACTGATGGCAATTGGGTGGTGAAATCCATCGTGGGTGTTAATCCAAAGTTAAAAGAGCCACCCAAGTTGCTCACACCTACCACCCAAGTACGTTCAGCACCTTGGAAGTTCAGACTAAAGTTGTAATGGATTCCTTGCACCACTAACCTTGTGGTCACTAGTTACACAGGATATGGGAGGGAGAAAAGGAGAAAAATCATGAGCATTGAATGCGACCAAAACATTCCCCATAGAGAGCAGCTGTACCCTGAAAATGGGACCCCTTAGCTTCATCCCTCTCAAATGCAGTAAATGCCTTATAGAATGAGTGGCATGCCTGGGATGGAGAACACTGAAGGTAGCCAGTGGGTCTCCCAATGTAATCTGTGGCCTACAAATGCATGCAAATGTATAGATTGGACAATGAAAGAGAAACGAAATATTGAAGTGGAATAGGTCTATTTGGGAAAACTCTCCTCTCTTCCTATTACATAGGTCCAAGTATATCTTTCTGCATCCTGCCCTCCCCCATTGCTCCATATATGCCTTCCTTACCTTTGGGGCTGGAACAGAAAGGATGGGCTGCGCCCAGGTCTCTGCATGGCATGGAGGAAGGAGCGAAGCAAATTACTCAACGAATGCTCCTCAAGTGGGCTCTGGACAGCATGGTCCTCATTTTCTTGCTGCTGGAGAGAAAAATGTTCAATAGCCCAAGTTGGTGGGGGTGGGCAACATATAAAGTCAAGGCATTCATGAGAGCATAAGATGTTTACACCAAGATTAGGAACAAAGTTTGATTGTTTCTCCCCTTGTTGAAAGATTCTGGGAATTGCAGGCTAAAATAAGTAATTTCTCTCAGCTATGGACTAGTTTAAAAGTCGTCTCCATCGTGATGGATCAAAAATGGCAACAGCCAATGTGGATTTGATGTAAAGAGCAGAAGGAGCAGGAAGTGGTCTTGCTGCTTTTCAGCTTCAGATGACAGCTTGGAAATCTATGACTCTCCAAGTATGCTGGAACAATTGTACCCATTGGCCTGAGCTAGCATTGTCTATATAAATAAAAATTTAATGTTCGTTTGTGGAATTAATAGAACTCAAAAACCACTGGGGAATTGACACCAAATTTGGACACGATACACCTAACAACCCAATGTATGTCCTTCACTCAAAAAAACTGATTTTGTCATTTGGGAGTTGTAGTTTCTGGGATTTATAGTTCACCTACAATCAAAGAGCATTCTGAACCCCACCAACAATGGAATTTAACCAAACTTGGCACACAGTTCTCCCATGACCAACAGAAAATACTGGAAGGGTTTGGTGGGTAGTGTCCTTTGGTTTTGGAGTTGTAGTTCACCTACATCCAGAGATCACTGTGGACTCAAACAATGATGGATCTGGACCAAACTCTACACAAATACTCAATATGCCCAAATGTGAACACTGGTGGAGTTTGAGGAAAATAGAATCTTAACATTTGGGAATTGTAGTTGCTGGGATTTATAGTTCACCTACAATCACAGAGCATTCTGAACCCCACAAACAATAGAATTGGGCCAAACCTCCCACACAGAACCCCCATGACCACCTTGGTCCACAGCAACGTGTGGCAGGGGATGGCTAGTCAGTTATAAAACACGATGGGAACGGCAGTCCAATAACTTTTGAAATTCTTCACCTCTGCTTTGGACTATAATGCTTTGAGCAAGGTCCTCTTTTTTTAGAGCTTCTTGTGATGGACAATGTCAACAACTAAGACATCTAGGTCCTACTTGCTTGGTCTGTGCATTTATTATTTATGAATACTGAGATATTACAGAAGTCCATTTAAGGCTTGAGTAGCATCTCTCACAATGACAGCGATCCAGTGTTTGTGAGGGAAATTCAGTATAGAATGAGTAAGGACCTCCTCAAACAATATGATAACCTAGGAAGGGGCCCTTGGGTGTCCATGTGTCCGTTCAGTATTAAGTAACTCCTATTCCTTCAAGAAGCAAATACACAGTGAACTCACACCACTCCCGTTTTCTTCTACTGGAATTCATCCAATTCCATCTGCAGATAGAACCTATTCTCGGTTCCCAACATTTTACCCTTGAAGGTAAAATGCCACAGTTGGTGGTCATCTTAATTTCTTCAAAATCAAATCAGGCCAATTCTACACTGCACTTGCTCGCTCACTCTCTTTCACATACACAAAGGAAAACATATTCCCCAGCCACTCAAAGTATACACCTGGAAATACTGAATTCTAAAAAGCATATTATGCTCATTACTGTATGTGATTTTGTGTTTATGTTTGCTTATTGTCTTGTGCTACCCATGGGGAGTTGGATAGCTGGCAGTGCTGCATGGTTGTCGTATTTTTTTGGGCTTTAGTGAATCTTTGTTTATACAATGATTAACATTTTCCTTAAGAAAGAAATGAAAGGCAAGATTGTTAAAGTACAGAATATTCTGCTGTGAACAAATCTGGAGTATATTGCCATGTTACATAGAATCCTAGAGTTGGAAGGGACATCCAGTCCAACCCCCTGCCAAGAAGCAGGAAAATCGCATTCAAAGCTCCCCCGACAGATGGTCGTCCAGCCTGTTTCAAAGCCTAATCATGATGAACCAAGCAAACAACAGCTGTGATAAAGGATTCATAAGAATCTTCTACAAGGAGTAGTGGAGATATGTATTATCACCATGATATGAGTCTACACTGCCATATAGTTGAACTGCATTCTGAAACTGCTTTACAGGCAGTCTCCAAGTTACGAACACTATAGGTTCAGTAGGTTTGTTCTTAAGTTGAATTCGTTTATAAGTTGAAACACGTACACGTTTAGGTGTAACTCCAACCAAATATCTATCTCTCCATCTATCTTTGGATAGCACAGGGAAGAGATAACACCCCTGTGGTGTTTGTTTTGCTATCTGTGCCCCTGTTCAGAAGATTTCACCTTACTTTCTGCTCCTGTGAAAATCAGATTTTGAAAACTTTGGCTTGCTGTTGAAACAAGGATTTGTGATAAAGCTTCAATTGAGAAATCTTTTCTCCGTGATAACTCTTTCAGGAGTGAATTTCCCTTCCAAAGGATAGATTTCTCTCACTTCCAGTTATCTCATCCCTGTTCTTAACTATGAGTCAAATGTAAGACGGATGTTTGTAACTCAGGGACTGCCTGTATATAGCAGTGTAGATGAATGAGCCTCCATAGAGTCACTATGGTGTAATAGTTTGAGTTTTGGACTGCGACTCTGGAGACCAGGGTTTGGATTTCCACTCAGCCATGGGAATCAACTGGGTGATCTTGGGCAAGTCACACTCTCTCAGCTTCAGGAGATAAAGGCAAACCCCCTCTGAACAAATTTTGCCAAGAAAACTCTGTGACAGATTCACTTTAGTGTTACCAAAAGTCATAAATAGGTTTTGTTATCATATCAGAGGAGAATTGGAGTTGCTTCTGGTGTGAGAAAATTGTCCGTCTGCAACAATGTTGCACAGGGAACGCCCAGATGTTTTACCACGCTGTGGGAGGCTTTTCTCATATCCCCACATGGGAAGCTGGAGCTGACAGGCAGGAGCTCAACCCATCTCATGGATTTGAACCGCCGACCTTCAGGACTTCAGGTCAGTAGTTCAGCTGGTACAAGGACACATAACAACAAGGTGAGTTGATGGACGTAAGGGAAAAGCTGAAATACCTTTCTCAGCTGAGCACTTCAGTCTTCTCCACCTCCCTCAATGTCTGTTTGGAAAACATACCTAGACTTTAGCAAATGGTTTGACTATGGAAGGCCACTATGTACTGTAATGATTCCAAAGCTTTGTTCCACAGTTTCCATATAACTCAGATTTGCAGGTCTGTCCGTTTCCAAGAAAAAGTGTGGGAGGGAAAGACCACTCCCTCTGAACAAAGGAGCAGTTTTCCAGGGATATTTTTATTAGGGTTTTCTAGTGGTTGTACATCAATAAGATGTTGATCATTGACATACTGGATTTAATTTAAAAGAAGGATAGGTTTGGGAGGGATAGGGATGGGGGAGGGGGGAAAAAGGGGAGAAAAAGGAAAAAAAAGAAAAAAAAACCCTCCAAGGTCATGTGGCCAGTGTGACTGCATGGAGCATCATTACCTTCCTGCAGAAGCAGTACTTATTGATCTACTCATATTTACATGTTTTCAAACTGTTAGGTTGGCAGAATCTGGGGCTAGCAGTGGAAACATCCAGCTCCCTGGATTCGAACCGCTGACCTTTTGGTCAGCAAGTTCAGCAGCTCAATGGTTTAGCTCACTGCGCCACCAATTGTTGTTAACTAATTATTCTAAACTTTGTTGAGAGTGTTAGAGATTTCCCCCTGTTGATTTTAATTTTAATCCCTTTTAATTTGGGGATATTCTAGCAATTGGCAGGACAGTAAAAATTGCTAGGATATTGATAAATGTACATGTATTTGTCAATCTGTACCAACTCCCTCTTTTTTAAAAATGAAGAATCATTTTCAAAGCAATCCGAATACCAACATTAAATAGACAAGAGAAACTTCACTTGGGAAGTTTTGGAATAGAAAACAAATGCCTGATGATCATTCCTTTTAAAATGTCCTAATAACGTTTAGTTACCTTTTCAAGACACCTCATATCTTCTCTTTCATCTGGCAGCTTCAAGGCATGGCCATTGTTGCTTGGGTTTGAACCTCACTTTGTTTAAATGTGTGACTGTGGGGTTGTCACTCTCTCTCAGCCTATCTACTTCACACAACAATGATGGGAATAAAATGGTGTGACACTGGAGTACACAACCATATATACATCACCTCAAACTGCTTAGAAGAAGGATAGTGTAAGACAGTGTTTCTCAACCTGGAGGTCGGGACCCCTGGGGGGGGGGTCGCGAGGGGGTTTCATAGGGGTCACCAAAGACCATCAGAAAACACATTTCTGATGGTCTTAAGAATCCCTTTGGCATAGTCATTTGGGTTAACAGAGCTCTGTGGATGTAGGTGAACTACATCTCCCCTAAATCACTCTCAATTCATTCCATATCTCTCCAGAATTTTCTGTTGGTGATGGGGGTCCCTGTGTGGGAAGTTTGGCCCAATTCTATCATTGGTGGGGTTCAGAATGCTCTTTGATGGTAGGTGAACTATAAATCCCAACAACTACAACTCTCAAATGTCAAGGTCTATTTCCCCAAAACTCCACCACTGTTCACAATTGGGTGCATTGAGTATTCATGCCAAGTTTGGTCCAGATCTATCATTGTTTGAAAAAGTCCACAGTGCTCTCTGGATGTAAGTGAGCTACAACTTCCAAGCTCAAGGTCAATGCCCACCAAACCCTTCCAGTATTTTCTGTTGGTCATGGGAGTTCAATATGTCAAGTTTGGTTGAATTCCATTGTTGGTGGAGTTCAGAATGCTCTTTGATTGCAGGTGAACTATAAATCCCAGCAACTACAACTAGCAAATGACAAAATCATTTTTGCCCCCCCCCCCCACTCCACCCCACCAATATTCAAACTTGGACATATCGGGTATTTGTGCTAAATTTGGTCCAGTGAATGGAAATACATCCTTCATATCAGATATTTACATGACGATTCATAATGGGAGCAAAGTTACAATTATGAAGTAGCAACGAAAATAATTTTATGTTTGGGGGTCACCACAACATAAGAAACTGTATTAAGGGGTTGTGGCATTAGAAAGGTTGAGAACCACTGGTGTAAGACATGGTAGAACATGACAGAGATAGATGGAATCAAAATAGACTTCACACTCAGCTTTGTCTCTTGTTATGAGGATGAGAACTATTTCTGTCTAAGGCCCCTTCCACACAGTTGAATTAAATCCCACATTATCTGCTTTGAACTGGCGTATATGGCAGTGTGGACTCAGATAATCCAGTTCAAAGTATATATTGTGGGATTTTCTTCCTTGATATCCTGAGTTATATGGTTGTGTGGAAGGATCCTAAGACTGGTAGTGTGCAGAACAAAAAGAATAGCACACATAAAAAACTCTTCACACACACATGTAGAGTTGCCAGAGTAAAACCTAGAGAGGGCTCCTTCTCCTTTAATGGTGTAGTGGACAGAGTTTCAACAGAAGTTGCTTGAAGTGTAGCCAAGTAACTAGACATACCTGCTGAAATTCCCTCTTCCACCCAACCTTCAAAGGCACAGTAGCCCTGTCTACTTTTCCAGTTGGCAACCCTATGACATACACACTCTCACTTGCACACGCACAGAGTGTGTGCCTTCAGTCCCAATTCTACTTACCACCCATTCTAGGAATCTCTCTGGATAAGCATTGGGTTCTTCAGCAAAGATCTCCCTGGAACCAAGTCCCTCTTCAAGGCCTCGACCTAACCTCAGGCTGCCTGAGAACAAAGTCAGCACAAGCAAGAGTCGGGGAGTGTCCATCTTTGAGGCCTGTTTTGCTCTCCTCTCTTCTCCTCGGTCCCACTTCCCTCCTCTTGGCACTGCCTTTATATCTCCATGCTGGAGTTGGGGGACATGGGGTGGGATTGATGACAGTGGTGGGCAACCATTTGTAAGGCAACGCATGCGGCGTGCAGCCTGCGGCACTTCCCGTGATGAGCAGAGAGGGACCGCAGCGGTCCCTGACAGAGACGGCACAACCGTCGGCTGAGGCTGACTACACGGTTATTGCGAGGATAAATCCACTCAAATGGCTCTTTAAGTTCTGTTGAGACTTGGCAGCTAATTGCTTGTTTATCGCAGATTGTGGAGACTCCAGGGAAACCAAGGCCAGGCTTTTTGAACACCCGGCTACTCCTGGTCTCTCTCATGTGGCTGCCTTAAGTCAGCTTGGATTGATGGGTTTGGGACCCACACATTTGTCATGTGGCTCTCCATGCGGCTTTGCAAGCCCCGATCCCTGCGGCATTCCCTCTGACAAAGCAGGGAGCTCTTGCAGCTTAATGAAACCCATTTAACAAAAGACAGGATGTGAAAAGGAAGGTGTCATATGGGGGGTTTGACAGGCTGAAATGATGCAAGTGCAGGAGTTGGGCTGTGGGAGCGATCTCCATTTTCGGATGCTGGAAGGCCAGTCAACGATGCTGATAATGTCTTCCTTCCATTTACAACACAGAAGGGATTGTATTGTCGAAGGCTTTCATGGCTGGAATCACTGAGTTGTTGTAGGTTTTTCGGACTGTATGGCCATGTTTTAGAAGCATTCTCTCCTGATGTTTCGCCTGCATCTATGGCAGGCATCCTCTGAGGTTGTGAGGACTCACAACCTCTGACGATGCCTGCCATAGATGCAGGCGAAACGTCAGGAGAGAATGTGGTTCGGGTCCCACCTATCTCCGCCATCGCATCTCCTTCTATGAACCGGCACGAACTCTAAGATCTTCCGGGGAGGCCCTCCTCTCGGTCCCACCTCTGTCACAATTATGGTTGGTGGGGATGTTATATAATCATAACAGTAAATAAATAAATAAGTAAGTAAAGAACAACRCTCAAAAACAGGGGAACTCCAGACAAGAAACAATTAGGGCCGGCTAATCACCTCCTAACAAAGGATTCCCCCAAGCAGTAAGAAGCCAAACCTTGACACTGCTAGGCCATTCCATGCTAATCAAGGTGGCAAATTGCAACATTCACACTTGCTTCCATCAGACAAGAGTTCTTTCTCCCACCCTGGACATTTCACAGATAGATAAACCCCACTTTGCCTAGTTTCCGCCAGACCTCATGACCTCAGATGATGTTTGCCATAGATGTGGGTGAAACGTCAGGAGAGAATGCTTCTGGAACATGGCCATATCGCTTGGAAAACTCGGTGATTCCAGCCATGAAAGCCTTCGACAGTACATTGTTTTAATTCTATTATGCCCAGCCTTCGGCCAAGAGGAGAGGAAGGTAAGAAATAAAATTATTGATGATTTATTTATTTATTTATCGTGTCAGGAGCGAACCAAAACAGTTGTATTGCATTAAAAAACAGACAAACAAACAAACAAAACACAAAGTTTGCAGATTTGGTATTCTATTAAATGTCCTTTGACCAGTAGCTGGCCACTTGGAGTGCCTCTAGTGTTGCCGCAAGAAGGTCCTCCATTGTGCATGTGGCAGGGCTCAGGTTGCAGTGCAGTAGGTGGTCTGTGGTTTGCTCTTCTCCACACTTGCATGTCACGGACTCCACTTTGTGGCCCCATTTCTTAAGGTTGGCTCTGCATCTCGTGATGATGATGATGAAAGCTGGACAGTGAAGAAAAGTGATAGGAAGAACTCATTTGAGATATGGTATTGGAGACAAGTTCTGTGGATACTGTGGACTGCTTCCCAACATTGCCTTGTACTGTGGGCATATCATGGGATGGCAAAACTCATGGAAAAGGATGATAATGTTTAATGGTTGAAGGTGGTTTGAAAAGAGTGGACTGCTCTACAGGTGGAGTGACTTATGTTTGCAGGACCTGAGCAGTGCAGTTGATGATCTTGGAGGTCTCTCCTTCAGAGTTGCTGTAAGTCAAAGCTGACTTAATGGCAAACAGCAACTCATAACGTAGTGCAACTCGGAGTAGTTGCCGCAGCTGCTGATCATTTCAAAACAGGCCAGGGCAAATTAGTACTGTAGCTGGGTCAAAGTGCAAGAAATTTAGTTGCTGTACTGCTAGCGCTGCCCTTGGTTCTTGAAATGCTCCTGAAGCAAAGGTAAGAAAATAAATAGCACCATCTGCTGACAGCTGAAAAGCAATACGCAGAGGCAGTTTGAGCAAGGCCGCCTTTCCCTTCTTGAACTTCTCCATTTAAGAAAAGAGAGAGCAAGGAAGGGCTGACAAGGTGTTGGGAGAATTGGGCTGCACTGCCTGTGGGCCAGGAGAGAAAGCAAGACATCGATACAAATGGAGATATTAATTTTCACATCATGTTTTCTTCCTTGAGGCCAAGCAGGAACCATCTGATCAGCCCCTGACTGATGCTCCCAATAACAATCCGCTTGTCTCAGGCATTGCTAGTGTTTGGGGGAGGCGGAGAGCTGTCAGTGCAGATCTTGCCCATTTCTCAGTAATGCAGCTCCAGAGGGAGGAGGCGATTAGTTTGCATCAGCATGAGAATAGGCTGCACTCTAAACACTTTTGCAGAAGCATACGAGAAGCTTGGCCTGTCATTAAACATCAAGAAAACCAAAGTGCTCTTCCAGCAGTCACCAGCCAATCCCTCTCCAATGCCAGAAATACAGCTTAATGGTGTAACATTAGAAAATGTTGACATTTCCGCTACCTTGGCAGCCACTTCTCCACAAAAGTCAACATTGACACTGAAATTCAACACCGCCTGAGCTCTGCGAGTGCAGCATTTTTCTGAATGAAACAGATAGTGTTTGAGGACCGGGACATCCATAGGGATACCAAGGTGCTTGTTTATAAAGCTATTGTCCTCCCAACCCTGCTATATGCCTGCAAGATGTGGACTGTCTACAGACGTCACATGCAACTCCTGGAACGATTCCATCAGCGCTGCCTCCGGAAAATCCTGCAAATCTCTTGGGAAGACAAGCGGACAAACGTCAGCGTGCTGGAAGAAGCAAAGACCACCAGCATTGAAGCGATGGTCCTCCGCCATCAACTCCGCTGGACCGGCCATGTTGTCCGGATGCCCAACCACCGTCTCCCAAAGCAGTTGCTCTACTCCGAACTCAAGAACAGAAAACAGAATGTTGGAGGACAGGAAAAGAGATTTAAAGATGGGCTCAAAACCAACCTTAAAAACTCTGGCATAGACACTGAGAACTGGGAAGCCCTGGCCCTTGAGCTCCAGTTGGAGGTCAGCTGTGACCAGCAGTGTTGCAGAATTTGAAGAGGCATGAATGGAGGGCGAAAGAGAGAAACATGCCAAGAGGAAGGCGCGTCAAGCCAGCCCTGACCAGGACCGCCTTCCACCTGGAAACCGATGCCCTCACTGTGGGAGAAGATGCAGATCAAGAATAGGGCTCCATAATCACCTACGGACCCACCACCAGGGTACTACACTTGGAGGACCATCATCCTCGGACTACAAGGGATTGCCTAAGTAAGTAAGTACAATGATGATTGGTAAATTAGAAGGCAGTAGGAAGATAGAGAAAGGCAATGTTATAAATGAATGGGTTCAAATAACGAAGTCACAGTCCTGAGACCTCAAGATCTGAGCATGGTAATGTGACATCCTTCCATATATATAAACATGGCTTTCCTGTCTCGTTCTTCTCTTCTGTAGGCTAAACAGATCCCGCTCCCTCAACCATTCCGCAGAGGGCATGGTCTCCAAACCTTTGATCATATAGGTCACCCTCCTCTGGACACATTGCATTTTGCCAATATCCCCCTTGAATTGCGGTTCCCAGAACGGGCCACAGTGTTATTCTAGGTGAGCTCTGTCCAAAGCAGTCTTTAGGGGCACTATGACTGCCCTCCATCTATAGCAGTGGTTCTCAACCTTCCTAATGTTCCTAATATTGTTGACCCCCAACCATAAAATTATTTTTGTTGCTACTTCACAACTGTAATTTTGCTATTATGAATGTAATGTAAATATCTGATATGCAGGATGCGTTTTCATTTCTGGACCAAATTTGGCACAAATACCCGATATGCCCAAATTTGAATACTGGTGGGGTTGGAGGATTGATTTTGTCATTTGGGAGTTGTAGTTGCTGGGATTTATAGTTCACCTACAATCAAAGAGCATTCTGAACTCCACCAATGATGGAATTGAACCAAACTTGGCACACAGAACTCCCATGACCAACAGAAAATACTGGAAGGATTTGGTGGGCATTGACCTTGAGTTTTGGAGTTGTAGTTCACCAGAGAGCACTATGGACTCAAACAATGATTGATCTGGACCAAACTTGGCATGAATACTCAACATGCCCAAAAGTGAACACTGGTGGAGTTTGGGTGTTGCACCTAACTGCAAACCAATTTCCTATGTAAGCTGAGCAGTTTAGCAACTTAATATTCTTCTTATGCTTATGCCTCCTTCAGGGTGAGCTCCTGTTTGTCAGCTCCTGCTTCTCATGTGGGGACATGAGAGAAGCCTTCTGCAGGATGGTAAAACATTTGGGCGTCCCCTGGGCAACATCCTTGCAGATGACCAATTCTCACACACCAGAAGTGACTTACAGTTATCTCAAGTCACTCCTGATACGCACACACAAAACCTGACAATCCTGATTATTTTTCTCTCATCTAGCTGTTTCAGTTGGTTTTGAAATGCTTCCAGTTTCTCTTCTCCTTGTACTTTCCCTCCCCTTTTGTCCTCAGTCTACTTCAGCTTTAAGAGTAGTTTTAAATTCAAGTATATTCAATAAACTCAATGGAAAAAAGAGGAGAGAAAAGGAGAATCTCCCTTCCCATTAGGCTCCGGCAAAAGCAAACTCTTGCCTCTTCTTGCTTGTCTGCTCTTCTTCATTAGTAGCTTTTAACATCTTGATCACACTCTCATGTTGGTTTTCATCTGTAAAATGATGGAGTGTGGGACAGCAGAGACTGAAGCGTGAGGCAAAAGTGACAACTGCACAGAGACAATGTGGATCTCTCGATTGATTGATCGATTGATCTATCAGCCTG